GGTCTGACAACGTTGTATGCATAGCTAAAAGGTCTCATGAGGTCCTGAGACACAGCTGACAAAGGCTTGGCTCTTGTAGCACAGGACCCAGGGTGTGCCGTCAAGGCCTCCAGCAGGTCGATTCAAAGGATATCCCCTTTGCTTCTCCGTCAGGACACAGACTACCCAAAAGCTAGGAAATAGTGCAACCGCGGCCACACACAGAGCCCAAACATAAACAGAGGGCGGAAGTCATGAGCACAAGGCCTTTCTATCTATAGCATCCTGCTGTTCTCTCAGACGGGCATTTATTTTATTTTCCAAAACTGAGGTTTCAGCATCTTCTAGAAAGTATGCCCCCTCGCCCCCCAACCAGGGATTGAACTGAGGACCTCGTGCTTGCAAGGTAGGTGCGGCACCAGTGAGCTAACTGCCCGGCCTATAAATATGTTAACTCTGTCAGGACAACTCCAGGCAGCCAGGGTCTCTTGTGAGGTCCATGAAACTCTCCTTCTCTGTCTTCTCCTCAGCCCCACCCCTGTCCTTTTGTGGCACTCTGATCAGTTTCTCAGGATGAATGCTCGTTTTAGCTGGCTTCAGTCTGCTCTTTTCACCTGTAATAATAATAATAATTACTATTTTTTGATACCGGGTATTGAACTCAGGACCTTGCCCTTGCGAGGCAGGCACGGTGCCACTGAACTAAATCTCCAGCCCATTATTTTTCTCTTCTAAAAGTATTTTTTGGTTCATTTTGAAACCTGGTCTTTCCTGATGATGTGCTATTCTTTTTAACTCTTATTGAGAGATAATTCACACATTATAAAATTCTTTTTAAAGTATAAAATTCAGTGGTTTTAGAAATTCATTAAGTTGTGCAACCATCACACTGTCTAATGTGACAGCATTTTTCAAAATCCGTGATTCTAAAGAGAAACTGTACCCATTAACAATCACTCCTTCTTCTATCCTCTCAACCCCTAGCAATCCCTAATCTACTTCCTTGTCTCTTTGAATTTGCTTATGCTGGACAGTTTTTTAAAAAAAACAAAATCACACAGTATGTAGTCCTCTATTACCAGCTTCTCTCAGTTAGATTTATGTCTTGAAGGGCTTTGTCTGTAGCACATAAAAATATTCCATTCCTTTTTACTGATATTTTATACATATTCTTTATTATGGATATACTAATTTTATTAGTTGTCTTTCGTTTTCATGAGTATGATTATAGGAGTATTCCTGTACAAATTATTATATGAATATGTGGTTGCAATTCTCTTAGGTACATACCTAGGTGTGGAACTGTGGGGTTATATAACTTTACGTTTGACCATTTGTAGAACTCCTGGACTGTTTTTCAAATAGCCAAATCAGACGTGATGCACGCCTTAACCCCAGCACTTGGAATGCTGAGGCAGAAGGCTCAAAATTGCGTTCAGGCCAGCCTCAAGTACATAGAGAGACCCTGTCTCAAAACAAAACCAAACAAAACAACCCAGCCCTCAAAAATAAACAAAAACTCAAACAGCTGAATGATTTCCCATTCCCACCAGCAGTGTATGAGTTCCGTCTTCCGCCTACCCTTGCCACACTTCGTGTCTGACCTTTTGATTTAATCTAGTCACTCTAGTGGGTATGCGGTGGTATTATCTCACTGCCACTCACTCTTCATTCATGTCCAGTACCAGGGATCAAACACAGGACCTCGCACTTGCCAGGCAGGCGCAGCACCACTGAGCTACTTCCCCAGCCCACTCATTATAATTTTAATTTGCATTTCACCCTATGGGTAATGATGCTGAGTGTCTTTTTACACTCATTTCTGTGTATTTGTTAGAAAATTTTCTATTTAAATCTTTTATCCATCCAGCACTCAGAAGGCTGAGATGGTAGCACTGCCATTAGTTTGAGGCCAGTCTGGGTTACAGTGAGTTCAAGGGTAGCCAGAACTACCAAGTGAAACCCTTTCTCAAGAAAAAAAAAAATCCGTCTTTTGATTATTGAGTTTTAATAGTTCTTTATATACTTTGAATCCTACATGCAAATTAGATGTGACTTGCAAATATTTTCTTCCACTCTGTAGGTTGTCTTTTCATTGTGATCATAACCTATGAAGCAGTTTTTAATTTTGATTAAAGTTCCATTTTTCTTTTTTTCTTTAGTTGCTTGTGTTTTAGATATTATATCTGAGAAATAGTTATCTAACTGAAGGTCCCAAGATTTCCATATCTTCTAAGAGTTTTATAGTCTTTTTCATATTTAGCTCTATGATCCATTTTGAGTTAGTTTTATACAGAATATTAATCTTTTCTCATATTTTTTAGTTTCATCTTTCAGGATTTTAAGTGTATTTATTTTATAGTTTCCACTTCATAATTCTATGATTACAAGTTTATTTAAGTCTAAACTTTCTGTTTACTACCTCCCTGACATTTGTTAGTTTGGCTCTCAAGTTGATCTAGGCAGTGTTTTATTGGATGCTGCACATCCTGGGGACGATAATATCCCTGCAGGGTGGATTTTCTTGTTTGCCAAGTGCCTCTAGATGTTAACCAGACCAGAATCTTTTGTATTCTTTTCTTGGTTGGTAATTTCTGAGGACACAGGTAAGGGTTAATTGACCCCAAAGGGCTGGGGATGTAGCTCAGTGGTAGAGCACTTGTCTGGCATGCACCTGGTCCTGGGTTCTATCCCGAGCACTGCAAAAACAAAACACCACTCACCCCAACCCACAGAGGGCAAGCCCGTGGTAACAAACTTTTTTTTTTCTCTCATTGAGTTTATTGGTACATTTTAAGTATACAGTACAGTTACATTCATCATTGGGATCTTGTACTTTTACATGACAGGTCTTAGTTCTCATTTTTTCCCCTTGTCCCTGCCCTCCCTTCACCCCCTCCCCATGTACAAACACTTTATTGCCATTTTTTCATTTTCTCATATATTCTTTTCCCTTATTCCCTTTCCCCTACCCTTCCCACTTTCCCTACACCTTTAGCCCTTTTCTTCCATTTTCACATTGTCAATTATATCATTAGGATCTTATGTACTATTATTATAGTTTTTCACACCAGAGAAACTATTCGGTATTTACATATGTGTGACTTATTTATTTAACTTAGGAGTATATCCTCAATATGCATCCATTTTCCTATGAATGCTGTGGCAACAATCTCAAAGGAAACTGTCTTCTTGACCTTGAAAACAGGCAGGGACATTCCAATTTCTCTGCCATGTTTCCGGCTGTGAATCAGTGCGCCACTTTTCTCACCAGTTTTCCCTTTTTAAAGTGGATTTACTTTATGCTGTTGACTTAGCTCTACACCATACCAGGCTAAGGTCCAAAACTGTCTTGACTCAATGTGGCCATTAAATTCAAGGTCTTTGGTCACGAGGATAGTAGTTCCTAGCCCAGCACCCAGAGTATGGATCTGCCAATGTCCTGGTCATTTTGTTCACTCTTAGATTTTGCCCTCTGGAGACTGACATGGTTATGTGTTTTAAAGACATGAGTTAATTTAATCTAGCATTTCAAAGTATTAAGTGGCAGGAAGAGTTTCAGAAAAAAAAATTACATCGTGCTAGGAGTAGTGACACATGCCTCTAATCCCAGCACTCAGGAGGCTGAGGCAGGAGGATTGCTGTGAGTTCCAGGACAGTCTGAGCAGCACAGTAATTTCAGAGCCAGCCTGAAGTACATAGTAGGTCTTTTTTTTTTTTTTTTTTT